TAGTATATTTCATTTCGTCTTTTGTTTTTAGTATGTATTTTCAATATGCTTTATGCTAAGAATGTGTTAAATTTCTTTTTTAGAAGTTATTTAAAATAAGGTTTTGTAACATGTTATCTTTGATACTTCTGCATTCTTTTGTCATTAGAATTTCTTTGGCCCTAGAATACTCTTACTATCTTATCTTTTTAAAATCCTCTTTAATTCCTCTCTTGTGTAATCAAAATCTTGTTGTTAAAGAGCTTGCTCATATGAAAAAAAAATAGGGGAAAATCATTATATTATCCCCAGTTTATAAATAAAGTCGTATCTTGAAAATAAAACAGGAAATCCAGTGTTGTTTGCTTTTAGTGAACCAAACCGTACCCTAACGGGCAGGAGGGCCAGGACACAGCTGCAATTTGCCACCAACTTGGGAGCCCAGAGTAATTCATATCCTACCTCAGACCATTGTTTCTTCAGATGCAGAGAATGTCTTAGGGTTTAAGACTTTTCATCTAGGGCTCCACAGTGAAAGTGGACTTGTCTTCATTATTGAGGTAATTTTAGTTGCTGAAAACAAACTAAGGTTTCTATTCTCATGTTGAGAAAACGCTGGAAAATTTTCCAAGTTCAAACTTCTAAAAGTTAGGCAGATGTGAGAATATAATATAGAACGAAATGTATTATTTTCTTTAATATATGTCATTCTACTGTTACTAGTTTCACTTGTTGAGATGTGAATGAACATCAAGTAAAGGTTCTCATGTCTGCATAGTTATCAGCTTTCAAGATTGGCCTCTACATTTAGTCTGAAGTTGCTTCATTCTCCCAAAGAAAGATTTTCAGACAAAAATCATATCCTCAGTTACAATTTTAGTTACCATAGTGATAAGAAGAAAAAAAGGGGGGAGGGGGAGCTAAAAATACCTGAACACAAAGACAGTTTTGAAACTTTGACCTAGTTGGTGTCATACACTAAAGAAGTTAATCAATTGAATTAAGTATACATGAGTTAGGTGAAATATGCTACTGGATGAAAAAATGTGTAGGTTGCACATCTGGAGCTATTACACACAATCAAAGAATTCAGTATGAATGAAGATGATTGACAATCCAAAATGCATAAAATCAGATTCCCTTACCAGAAGCAAGCAGAAAACACTAGCTCCATTTCCCACAAATTTTTGGTTTTCTTTCCATTATTTTAGAATAGCTCTATTTTAAATTAATGCTTCTTATGAACTAGAATTGTTTAACTGGATGTAGCAACATAAGTGGACATATATTTTAAATTATGTTAGAGTGGCTTCTATAAAGGAAAGTTTCCCAATTTTAGGCATTATAATAAAAACAGTATGTTTTTAAGCTAACTGTTCTTTTTAAAAAATTCTTTTTCATTTATTTATATTAGTTGGAGGCTAATTCCTTTACAATATTGTAGTGGTTTTTGCCATACATTGACATGAGTCAGCCATGGATTTACATGTGTTCCCTATCCTGATTCCCACTCCCGCCTCCCTCCCCATCCCATCCCTCTGGATCTTCCCAATGCACCAGCCCTGAGCACTTGTCTCATGTATCAAACCTGGACTGGTGATCTGTTTCACAATTGATAATATACATGTTCTTTTGAAAATTCTAGTTTTAATAAGAAATTTAATAGAGTGAAACATTTACAGAAAACCTACTATATCACAAGGCATTATCTAGTCTGTGAAAGACCAATAAAAGGCAGGACTTGCTGTCAAGAATATTTTAATCATCCATCTAATTATGTTTTTGTAATACTGAACTTTTAAATTTTACTCCACATAGTAAAAAGCATTGAACTTGATTTTAAGAGACCAGGGTTAAAGTTTCAGCTCTCCTAATGAGCTTTAAAAACTCTAAGTCTCAGTTCTCTCATCTGTAAAATGAGCATAAATGAGCATATCTCCTGTAGTACACAGGTCATTATGATAATCGAGAGATGATATGGGTAGAAACCAGTGGATTACATTCAATACAAAAATATCTATAGAAATAAGTCACTCAACAATTAGGTTCAATATTTTAACACCTTCAAAATTAAAAAAATTATGAAAATTAATTTTTATAACTATTTCAGTATACTAAAGGATTGTTTAAGAAAAATAATAACAGACATTTATTGGCATTTTAAATGATCCACAAGTTTTACATTAATTATTCCATTTAAAAGTCACAACAGTCCAACTATTTTGATAGTATTATCTTGCTTTAAACATATATTAATAAAATAAGGCATAGCAGAGATAAATAACTTGTCCAAAGACACACAGCTAATAAGTGATGAAGTCAGGAATTAAATCCAGGCAATCTAAAATTGAGCCATGCTCTAAACCCAAGCCTCTATGATACACTCTAAAATAATCAGTGAAGGAAAATACCACTGTGAAATATAATTTGAAGAAAAACATATTTTAAATTACTAACACTAATCAGAATAAGTTTCCGAAATCTCTAATTGATTCTACTTTGCTGCATTCAACTTTTTGAATTTTATTATTATAAAGAAAAATGGTAAGAATTTAAATGTACAATAGTAAATGCTTTACAGAATACCTTTATGATTGAGTTATTACTCAGTCATAAATAATGCTGTAAAAGGTATTTATGGCTTGGGAATTAAGGAGTATTGTTAACCAAAAAATGTAGATTTTGCATCACGTATGTGCCCAGTACTGTCATGTCAGACTCCTTGTGACCCTATGGACTGTAGACCACCAGGCTCCAAGGGATTTTCTAGGTAAAAATACTGGCATGGGTTGCATTTCCTCTTCCAGGGGATCTTCCCGACCCAGGGATCAAACCCATGTCTCCTGCATTGGCAGGCAGATTCTTTACCAATGAGCCCAACATGTAGAAAATTCCAATTTTCATAAAATTGTTCTATGTGAAGGAAAAAAACTGGAAATGACAAACATCAAATATTAATTGCTATTTGTTAGTAATTTTATACATTTCTATATTCTCAAATTTTCTATAATAAATGCTCAATGTTTTTGTTAGTGGGAAAAAGTTGCTTAAACATTCAAAGTGACCTGGATGCTCCTTGGGTCTGTGAAACAAATTTACCAAGAGCCTAGAAAGTTTTTCTGGGTACTAAGAATGCAACAGTGGCAAAACAAAGCCCACACATAGGTAAAGTATTAGGTCAATTTAAACTAAGAACTAACAAAGAGAACTTCAACCCATATGAAGCTTCAACCTTGTCACTCCGACATTAATCATACATTTCTACTGGCATGTGGGCCCTTCTCCTCTATTACAAAAAAAGATCTTGAGTTATTTTGTTTTGTTTGTTTACCTTTTCCTCTCAGTTAAATTTGGGGTACCTCATTCATCATCTCTAAACATGGTAGAAAGCCATAGCATTAGGGTGGACATAGAAAGAAATGTTGAGAAGAATTTTAAGGAGTTAAGAAAAATTCATTGAGACTTCCCACACCTTGGTGACAATTTCCACCCCCTTACCAGTATAGAGAAAGGAGAAATGTTGCTCCATTTAACTTATTAAATATTCCTACATAATGCACGCTATCCTTTCACTTATTTACTGTTAAGAAAAGAAACAATTTTATTGTGTTAGAAATAATTTATAATGTTTAAACATTCAAACTTGACTATATTTTTTGTACCAAATATATTCAGGAGAAATCATTGTAGCATCAGTATTTAAAATATGGTGGTTTTAAATGTATTCAGATACAACACAGTGTATCAAAAATATATTAGAAGCTTTCTAAAAGCTAAAATCATCTCCTCCACTCCTTTAAAGGTAACTTTTTTCTTATTTTTTATTGAAGGATAATGGCTTTGTAGAATTTTGCTGTTTTCTGTCAAACCTCAACATGAATCAGCTATAGTGAAAGTGAAGTAGCTCAGTCGTGTCCGACTCTTTACTACCCCGTAGACTGTAGCCTACCAAGCTCCTCCCTCCATGAGATTCTCCAGGCAAGAATACTGGAGTGGGTTGTCATTTCCTTCTCCAGGGGATCTTCCCAACCCAAGGATCGAACCTGGGTCTCCCGCATTGCAGGCAGACGCTTTAACCTCTGAGCCACCAGGGAAGCCCAGGTATACATACATCCCCTCCCTTTTGAAACTCCCTCCCATCTCCCCCTCCCCATCCCACCCATCTAGGTTGATACTGTATTAAGTCTTAACCTGTTATTTAAATTTTATTTCATATGTATATTAACATTAGGTTTTAACAATTTGAAAAAAGGGATTTATAAGACAAATCTGGTCCCATCACTTCATGGCAAATGGGGAAACAGTGGAAACAGTGGCTGACTTTATTGTTCTGGGCTCCAAAATCACTGCAGATGGTGACTACAGACATGAAATTAAAAGACACTTATTCCTTGGAAGGAAAGTTATGACCAACCTAGACAGCATACTAAAAAAGCAGAGACATGACTTTGCCAACAAAGGTCTGTCTAGTCAAGGCTATGGTTTTCCGAGTAGTCATGTATGGATGTGAGAGTTGGACTATAAAGAAATATGAGTGCCAAAGAATTGATGCTTTTGAGCTGTGGTGTTGGAGGATATTCTTGAGAGTCCCTTGGACTGCAAGGAGAACCAACCAGTCCATCCTAAAGGAGATCAGTCCTGGGTGTTCACTGGAAGGACTAATGCTGAAGCTAAAACTCCAATACTTTGGGCACCTGATGTGAAGAGCTGACTCATTGGAAAAGACCCTGATGGTGGAGGGCAGGAGGAGAAGGGGATGACAGAGGATGAGATGGTTGGATGGCATCACCAACTCCATGGACATGGGTTTGGGTGGACTCCGGGAGTTGGTGATGGACAGGGCGGTCTGGCGTGCTGTGGTTCATGGGGTCGCAAAGAGTCGGACATGACTGAGCAACTGAATTGAACTGAGCTAAAAGAGAGTAAGAGAAGGAATGTAGGAAAGATCAAGGGAGGAAAATAGGGAAGAAAGAAAGAAGGAAGGAGAAACCAAAAGAAAAACAGAAATGAAAACGACTTACCTCTATGGACCAGACCCCAAACCTCACCAGTTTGCTGGTGGGTTGGGAAATGACCACAGTCATTGAAGAACTTCAGGAGTTCACTTCTTTCTAACCCTTGCCAGTCTTCTCTTTTAGCAAACATTGTTTCATAGACTACAAAGGAAAAAGATACTAGAAAATATTTTCTTTGTAAATAACATATCAAGTATATTCCCCACCTGAAAGTATCATTGGGATTTAAAAATACTTTCAGTCCAGTTTTATTCTGATGTCTGGTGAGAAGCCTCCAGGATCAGAGCAGCACCAGATCGGCCTCCTGGCGGGGGTGGGGAGAGGAAGTGGGCATGCTTCCCCTCCCCAGATCTACAGGAGAGAATCTGGACTTGCTTCCCCACAGAGGACACAGGCATCCTCTGGTCAGGTTTACAGGACAGTTGTCTACAGACTCTGCAAACATCACTGTTCAAACCACATCATAAGACATATAGCTCAGGGTTTCTGGGGACTTGACTTTTGTTGACATATTTCATCATTTCTTTTTTTTTAGTTATTATTGCTTTTGATTAGATTCCCTAATTTTTTCATCTCTTTTTGACTTCTACCTACATTTTAACTACTTGATGATTATACTTTGGACTGTTTATGTTATGGCTGATTTTGCCCTTACGGTGTCTACTTTTTGCTGACTTCGTGCACTTCTCCTTCCTATTTTAATGTCTTTTGTGACTCCTGGCCCAAGACTTCCCCAGAAGACCATTCAGTTGATCCATCCCTCACCTACTTCCCATACTTGGTGTTAGACAAGGTTTAGGTAACACCCAGGAGCACTGACACACGTGATTTTTAAGTGTAGTTCTCCATTTTATTTTTTTTCAAAAAGGTGAAATTGAGTCTCCATTCTGAAGTAAATGGATTAACCCCATGAAACTGATTTTTAATCAACATTTACAAGATGAGAAGGTCTGTGCTCAGTACAGGTTTAGCTCTGAAATATGGGCTCCAAATGACAAAGGGCACCAGAGTGGTTTCTAAGTGAATGTATCATCCTGGCAATCAACAGTATGGACTTCAATTTTCAATCCATTCACATATCCACTCAGTTGAGGTGGACAATCATGAGATATCAACAAGGTCCAGAAATGTTTAGTGATTGTAAAGGCTAAGTTCTTCAGTCCTGCCCATCTCTGTGGCCCTATGGACCATAACCCACCAGGCTCCTCTGTCCATGGGATTCCCAGGCAAGAATACTGGAGTGGATAGCCATTCCCTTCTCCTGGGGATTCTCCCCACCCAGGGACAGAACCTGCATTTAGCTTAGGTTCCTGCATGGAGCAGGCAGATTCTTTACCACCAGCACTGCTTGGGAAGCCCAGTTGCCTGAATACAAGTAGCTATTCCAGATTCTGAAACACAGCTGAAAATAAACATAAATGTCTATTAAGCATCTCCATGACTTTCTCTCTATGTTCAAACAAGCAAACTAGAGCAGTTGCTATTGTTTCCTCCATTTATACTGCCTTGTCCCTTACGTATCTGCGCAAACTAACCTGACTTTTTAAATTGCCAGCATCTACATTTCATTGCCTAAGGGCTCCCTCTGGCTGCAGGATTCTACTCTGCCCACCTGTGCAGTCAGAAGTGCCAGGGAATCAAGGCTCCTCTTGGAGTGGCCCTTAATCTCTGACTGGGGGAGTTGGTGGATAAGCATAGTCCTCATGGCAAGATGGCTCCGTTGTTCCCTAGAGGGATTAAGCTCTGGTTGCCCACATGGTCATCTGGTGGAGAATGCATTTATGTTCTTCCTTCATTCTCTTCTCTGTCTTCTCATTTCTCCATTCTCCTAACAGTATTTCCTGGGGTCAACTCGCAAATAAGATAGCAGTACTCCCTCTCACTTTTTGAAGGACGTTTAAGTGAAAGGAGTCCCAGTAGTTTCTTTTCATTTCATTAATTAGTTTGCCTGCACCCACACCTAGCTGCAGCACGAGGCACCGTTGGTCTATGTTGTGGCATGCAGATCTTCAGCTGAGGCAGGTGAGCTCTCAGTTGCAGCATGTGGGATGCAGTTCCCTGGTCAGGACGGAACCCACCTCCCCTGCATTGGGGGCACGGGGTCTTAGCCCTGGACCACCAGGGAAGTCCCTCTGTAGCGCCTCAGTGAGCAGAGTTTTCTCCTTCTTCCTTCTTCTTCCTGCCTTTTTATCTCTCAAACACTTTGCTCCTTCATGCTTTTTCCCCTGAAAACCAAGCTGCATGGATGGCGGAAACTGATCAGAGTCTCATGGCTTACCTAGAGTCTCTCTCCTTTTCTCTCTCTGATCTCTTTCTTCCTTAACCTCCAGCCACAGAAAATGTGGCATTCTAGCTCAAAGAATTCTGGTTATTGGTAAATATTCTTGATACATAATTTTGGCATAAGTAATAAAATTAATGAAAACTATTCTTTCAAAAATATTTTTGGGCCCTTCTGATAAACTGGTATTTGTTAATAGTGAGTGTGTACTATTGAACAAAACAATCACAATCCTTGTCTTCATGGAACTTATAGTCCACTGTAAAATAAACATTTTATGGCTAGCTAAAACTACCAAAAATGTAGCATCTTTACATTATAAGGCAATAAGTTGCTAATTCTGATTAAATATTATTTACTCACATCATTTTGTTGTTACTGTTTCAAATTTTTTAAAGAAGAGTTACAAAAGCAGTTTTAAATTGAAAACAAAATTGAGACGGAGGTACAGAAATTTCTCTGAAGTCCTTTATCTCCACTGAAGCATAATTTGCCCGCCCCTAGTATCAATTATCAATGAATGCACCAAGGGATGCCTCTGTTACCAAGGATGAACCTACACTGACCTGACACATCCTAATCACTAAGGTCGATAGTTCACCTTATGGCTCACTCTTGGTGTTGTCTGCATTCTTTGGGTTTGTGTATCCGTCACTGCAATAATGTACAAAAGAGTTCCATGGTCCTAAAACTCTGTGCTTGCCAATCCATCCTTCTTCCCACCCCAACCTACCCCAGCAACCATCGACCTTTTCATTTTCTCCACACCTTTGCCTTTTCCAAAGGATCTGATAGTTGGAATCATAGAGTATGTAGCCTTTTCAAATTGGCCTCTTACACTTAATAATATGCAGTCAGGTTTACTCCGTATCTTTTCATGACTGCTTCATTTCTCCTTAAAACGAAATGATATTTCATTTTCTGGATGCACCAGTTTATTTACACATTTACCTACTACTGTAGGTAAGGCTGCTTCCAAGCTTTGGCAATTACAACAAAGCTTCCATAGATATCCATGTGCAGGTTTGGTGTGGATATAAACCTCCAGTGGCTAAATACCAAGGAGAATGATTGCTGGATTGCATGGTAAAAGCAAGTTTAGGGCTTCCCAGGTGGCACAATGATAAAGAACCTGCCTGCCAATGCAGGAGGCATAAGAGATGTGAGTTTGATCCCTGGATCAGGAAGGCCCCTGGAGGAGGGCATGGCAACCCACTGCAGTATTCTTGCCTGGAGAATCCCATGGACAGAGGAGCCTGGCGGCTCTCGTCCTTAGGGTTGCAGAGTCGGACACGACTAAAGTGACTTAGCACACATGCATGAATAACAAGTTCTACTTAGAGATATTAGTCACTGTTCGTGTGTTCAAAGCAGGGTCTGCTGCTGCTGCCAGATCACTTCAATTGTGTCTGACTCTGTGCGACCCCATAGATGGCAGCCCACCAGGCTCTTCTGTCCACAGGATTCACTAGGCAAGAACACTGGAGTGGGTTGCCATTTCCTTCTCCAGAGCAGGGTCTGGTGCATAGTAAATGCTCAATGAATGAGCATTAACTTCAGTATCACTCTGTCTCTTCCATCACCACGACTTACCTGATACTTACCAGGTGCTTCCATGCCTCTTATGCTGTATTCCACACACCATCCTTCGGAGATAGCTTAGTCGTGCCCTCATTTGACAGATGCGNATGACCAACCTAGACAGCATATTAAAAAGCAGAGATATTACTTTGTCAACAAAGGTCTGTCTAGTCAAAGCTATGGTTTTCCTAGTAGTCATGTATGGATGTGAGAGCTGGACCATAAGGAAAGCTGAGCGCCGAAGAATTGATGCTTTTGAACTGTGGTGTTGGAGAAGACTCTTGAGAGTCCCTTGGGCTGCAAGGAGATCAAACCAGTCAATTGCAAAGGAAATCAGTCCCGAATATTCATTGGAAGGATTGATGCTGAAGCTGAAGCTCCAATACTTTGGCCACCTAATTTGAAGAACTGAATCATTGGAAAAGACCCTGATGCTGGGAAAGATTGAAGGCAGGAGGAGAAGGGGATGACAGAGGATGAGATGGTGGGATGGCAACACTGACTCAATGGTCATGAGTTTGAGCAAGCTCTGGGAGTTGGTGATAGATAGGGAAGCCTGGCATGCTGCAATCCATGGGGTGGCAAAGAGTTGGACACAACCTAGTGATTGAACTGAACTGGTGAATGTCCCATTTGGCACCTTGAAAAAAAAAGTTATTTTGATGTTGTTGAATGAAATAGTTTAGAGATGTTAATTATATCCTGTTGTCTGATGCCATTATTGAGGTCAACTATGTCTTTATTACTATGCTTGCTTGATATGTCTGTTTCTTATTGTGGAGCACTGAAGAGTCCAAATGTGACAGTGAATTCATCTATTTTTTTCTTGTAATTATATCAGTTTTTGCCTCACATAGTTTGATGCTATGCTGTTAGGCACATACACAATTACAATTGTTAATGTCTTCTTGGAGAATTGACCTTTCTATTATTATGTAATGCCTTTCTTCATCTTTGATAACTTTCCTTAATTTGCAGTCTGCTCTATCTAAAATTAATACGGCTACCCCGGCTTTCTTTTGATTGTTAGCATGGTGTATTTTTCTCCATCCATTTACTTTTAATCTACATATATATTTATATTTAAAGTGGGTTTCTTCACATCCCAGAATTTTAGAAACAAAAGCAAAAATAAACAAATGTGACCTAATGAAACTTAAAAGCTTTTGTACAACAAAGGAAACTATAAGCAAGGTGAAAAGACAGCCCTCAGATTGGGAGAAAATAATAGCAAATGAAGCAACAGACAAAGGATTAATTTCAAAAATATACAANCATATAAACAGTTAATCCAAGTCCACTTTCAAACAACACTATCCTACTACATGGATATCACAAACATCTTACAATAACAAAATAACCCTAATTCCTTCCTCCCATCCTTCCTAATTCCTTCCTCCCATCCTTTGTATAATTGCCATCATTCACTTCACTTATATATATGTGCACATATATTAGCATATAAAATTATACTGAAGCTGTACATGTATATTATATTGTTAGCATTTTTTTAAATAACTGTCATCTGTTAAAACACTTTGGAATAAGAAAAATAAATGTTAAATTTTACCTTCTTATTTCTTATGCAGTGCTCTTGTTTTTGTAGTCTGAGTTTCTTACCTATATTATTTTCCTTCTCTCTAAAAAAAAATTTTAAATGCTTTGTGCAAGGCATATATATATGCCAGCAACAAATTCCATCAAGTTTTGCTTTTCTAAGAAAGTTCTTCATATTTTTTTAAGGATAATTTTGCAGGGCATAAAATTCTAGGTTGGTGGTTTCTTTCTCTCAACTATTTCATGCCATTCTTCTTGCGTGAATGGTTTTGGATAAGTCAATGTAATCTTTTTTTTTTTTTTCTCCAGAGGCAAGATATTTTCTCTATCTAACTTCCTTCAGAATTTTTTCTTTATCTTTAACTTTGTAGTTTGGAGATAATATACCTCAATATAGTTTTTTGGAACTTATTCTTCTTGGTATTCTCTGGGCTACTGTGGTTTGGTTTCTAACATTAATTTAGGGAAATTTTCAGCCATTATTGTTATAAATATTTCTTCAGTTTCTCTTTCTTCTCCCTTTGGTATCTCCACATGTAACTCCTTCCCTAGTTTCCCCAGAATCCCTACTTTATTCTGTTTTTTATTTAAGCATTTTTTCTCTTTGCTTTTCAGTTTTCAAGGGTTCTAGTGATATAATTTCTAGCACAGGGAAGCTCTCCTCAGCCATCTTTCCAAGAAGCCTATCAAAAGTGTTTTTCATTTCTGTTACAGTATTTTTTTTTAATTGTCATCATTTCTTTCCTGGGATTTCCATCTCTCTGCCTACACTGCCCATCTTGCATGCTATTTATTTTATCCATAATTAACATATTCACTGTACTTGTTTTAAATCCTCAGTCTAATAATTCCAACATCCCTGCCATGTCTGGTTCTGATGTTTGCTTTATCTTTACAAATTGTGTTTTTGCATTTTTGTATAGCTTGTAACTTTTTCTAGATAGCTAGACATAACTAGGGTATTTGGTAAAAGGAATTGCTATAAAAAGGCCACTGGTAATGTGGTGATAAGGTATTGGGGGAGGGGAAGTGTTCAAACAATTAGGTCTCAGTCTCTGATTGAGCCTATGTCTCTGGACTATGAATTTCATGAATGTTTCCCTGTCTTTTTCTTCCCCCTTAGGGCGGACAGGATAGTCAGAGTGGATGAGAATTGGGTATTTCCCTTCCACAGCTTAATTAGGCTCTGATAATACCCAACAGGTTAGGTTCTGGTTAATTAGTTTCCCCTGAAGGCAGGCCTTATTAAGAAGAATGGAGGGCTCTGGCATATTTCAAAATGGTTCATTTTCTCATAATTATTCTGGGAATCTGATTGAGCTTCTGTAGGTAAATATCACAGTACTGTGGAGGTCCCTTTATGACTGGATCCTCCTGGAACTTTTAACTCAGTGTGGTCCACATTGAGCCTGCAGCCATTTGTCAATTACAGTTCATTTTTTTTACCCAACTGCCGGTTCCCACATCAGATTCTGCTCGTGAGTCTCTGCTCTAGTAACCTGGGGCTGCCTGTATTTGCAAGCCTGTCTCTCCAGTTTGCCCGTATCCTCCTCCCCTCTCTTACAGGGCTCAGCTGAGTTGCGGATGTTTTAATCTGTTCAGATTTTTTATTTCTTGTTAAGATGGAGTGATGACCTCCAAGCCCCTTACATGCAAAAGCAAAAACCAGAAGTCTTCATTTATTTTAAGTCAAGAAACAAACTGTAATATTCATCCTAATCCTAAGCAGTACTAAATATAATAAAAATCAGGATCTCTGAAAATTAAAATAGAAATTGGAAAACTTGTCTGTTGCATGGAATTTCAACACTAAAAAGCAACATATAATGGATATCTGTTGTTTCATCTCCTCAGTGCCCATGAACTGCTATTCTGTTATAAATACATAGTTTTCCTTTGGGGAACTCCTCCCTCCCTCCAATGAATATAGCCCCTATGCAACTCCCAATCAAATTTCCTCGTCCTACACCAAGGCAAGTGTTGAAGATATAACTCAAGCTAAACCAACCAGGAGTTCTCTCCCTAGAATTAAAATTTAAAGCTCAGGAATAAAAAGTCATAAAGTGATAGCATCTTTTGTATCCCCCCTAGAGGCAAATAAGAGATTTTGCCTTATTTTTTGCTCCCTAGATCTCTGGAGCTACTCTGGTTCATGCTCCATCTGAAATCTGATTCTTTAACTATCTTTCTATTAAATTTCCTATTTTTTTAAGCCTAATAAATTAATCGTCATATGTCACCTTAAAATGCAAATAGCTTGCAACAATAAAAATACTGTCTACTTGTGTTTTCTATGGGTAATTATATGTAAATTATATGTAAGTTTTTAATGGTTAAATTAATTCCAAACCTAAAATCAAATCAGAAAGGACAGCATCACTCACATTTTTTTCTGTCCATCCATTCCTCCAACTCTGTAAGGTTTATGATTTGTCTTGTCCTCCAAAGACCAAGTCGATATTTAACACGATGGATTTGTCTGCAGTACATATTTATAACTGTCCTCAAGTCTGGTCCATGATACAAAGCCTATAAAATAGCAATATAAACAGTTGAACTCCTTATATATTTCTGCTATTTATACTGAATCTGATTATGTCATATTCATTTCATCTATCTCACCCAGTTTCTTAGAGCATTTATTTATATTTCTAAATAAGGTTAGCAAAGTACATGCATCATAGAGTGGTATAATCTCCCTAAAGTTCAGAGAACATCATTTTGAGTTGCTTTGGCATCACATACTTATGCTTGCCATAACATAGAAGTTTTAGTAATGAATAATTGCATAGAAGCTTCCTAGGTTGGTATAGAGATTTCTATACTATGTAGCCTACTTAGCCAGAAAAAAAATATATAAAAGTTTTATTAAGGCATTACTCTGTAATGTTCTATCCACTCTGGGAGCTCAAATCCTTGTATTTTCTTTCTTTCAGAAACTGTATATTTATGTGTTGTACCTATTTTTCACTGGATTTTTTTCAGGTTTTATCATAGGTACATACCTGTTCTATCAGCTTGTATTTTATTTGTGACTATATTTCTCTGTATGCACATTTTATACATTCTACTCACATAAACTTTTTAAAAAGTATAAAAATTCATCTATTTCATTTTTTTAATAACCAGTTCCATCTTCTTTATCCATTCAATTATTTTTACATTTTCTATTTTCTAGCTCATTACTTTCTCTACTTATCTTTATTAATTCCTTTTTTAAGGTTTCTTTTCTCCTTCTTGACTTCTTGAATTAAAAACTTCATTCACCAATTTTCATTATATTTTTAGGAATCTAGTTAAGTTCATGAAATTTCTTCTGAGTCTGCTTTCCTTTGACATGCTTTGCATACTATTACACAAGTAAAAACCCTAAAGCATAAAATCTTTAGCTTTCCCAACGTCCTATAGTTAGTAAATTACAGAACTGGTTCTAAATTCAAAACAAGGATACTTCACAGTCCACACTTTTAATCATATGCTATATTCCTCTTAATTTACTTGAATTTCATATTTTTCACCCATTCTGGAAATTCTTATTCTAGTTCTTTCCTAGTTTATTTATTATTACACTTATGATCTATTGTTCTTGCTCTTGTCATTTATTTTCTGTTTTGCGTGATTCTTTAAAGGTTGTTTTATTATTTTATTTTTGTTCACCTTTGTTTAGCTTTCTGGTTCTTCTCTGACATTTTTAGATACTATGTTTAAGCCTATATTTCTTAATTTGTCAAAACTGTCAATGAAATAATATTTCTTGATTTACCTGAACAAAAAATAAGTTAGCATCATTTCACTACTTTCCTTTTCTCCTTCCACCTAAATTCCATCAGAATCGGGCAGATTCTAAATGTTTGCTAATGTCTTTCAACATTTAATTACGTTTTCCAATGTGTAATTTTAATCTCCCTTTTCTTCAATAGAGCTTTGTCACTTTGTTGTTGTTGCTTTGTTTTGTTTTAAATAACAAATGGGTCACACTTTAGGAGCACTTCCCACCATGTGAATCTTAGTAGAAGGCAGAGCTCATGTCCTTTATTTGAAGCCACAAATCAGATGCTCACAACCTAAGCCTCCTCTGTTGCTAGGATGCAGACATGTGACAAAGCCTCATCCATTATCTACACACGCCTCAGGTTTTGACTAGAAACTAATAATGCTTTTAAAAGGGAAACAGTGGGAAATCTATTTCTGTGGAAGAGTAATCTTGGCACAATATCCATTTTCCAAGGGTGGCATTTGTGGAGGGAGTACAGGATTCAGCGGTTGCATCAGAATTTGTGCAGGATTTGATTGCAGTCCAGGGAGCTATCTAGGCTAGCCTTCATCATTCCCCTATGTTTCTGAGCTTACTTCTTCAGACCTCTGCCCAAAATTTTACTCAATACCTTCCTGCTTAAATCTGTCAGTAGGTTTCTCTTGCTTATAATTAAAAATCAAGCACTGTTTTAATTGTATTCTTAGAATATAAACCAAAAGGTCCTTGCTTAGAGTGCTGCTTAGTTGAATGGTGACATTTGCTAAGGGAGAAGGAACGTTTGGGCAGTCACCAAACCCAAGCTGAGTGTTTTTTCCTCCAAATTTAATAAATACTCTTTTGTGGACACAACCCATCTCATGAAGAAACCCTTCTCAGATCTGAGGCATTCAGAAGGCTACCTAGGAGGTTTTCATGGTTAAGAAGTTGGGTCAGAGAAAATGGCAGTCAGCCATCTGTGTGCTTCTTATTATAGCATGCCTCTCTGCCAGCCTTCTGTACAGAAATATGCCTTAGTTATGATGCCATGTCATCTCAGTATGCAAATCTTCCACTATATTTCTAAATTTTTCTGAAGATAGAATTAACCAGAAAAATGTACAAATTGATACAACAGCAATATTTAAATAAAAGACAATGCAAATTACTGATTATAATTTTCCAATCCATGTTGACTTAAACTGTAAATATGTCATGCTTATCATACATCAGGATTAACATTTTTTTACAAATAAAAGTCTGCTTTGTATTTGATACGATCATGTCTTTTGTTTCTAAGTAATGAATTTATTTCTTGTTTGGTTAATTCCACTACTATACGATACTTAGTGGTACTCAATTTCTTTGATTACTAGCAAGAGTAGCCTCTTTTCATGTTTACTAACCATTTATGTTTATTCTACTGTGAAGCACTAGCTCATGTTTTCTACCTATTTTTGCCTAGGCCTTCATTCCTAGAAGCATTGGGAATCACTGACCTGACCCTCTTTATCACACTGTGTCTGAACTTTCTTGATCTAGCATGTTTCAGTTTTCTTCAGACTTCTCTAGCTGTTTCTTTGTTGTTTGTGAAATCCTCACCTCTGGCTCCCCCTCTGAGCACTGGTCTTTCTCATTCTTATCTTTCTTTGCCTCTATCCTTACTTTATATACTCTCTGGCCAATGACATCAATTCCATGGCTCTAGACAGTATCACTAATAATGATTCTCAAATCTGTGGATGAAGGCAGAGTACAGGAGGGTATCCTTGGTTGCAGAGCTGAATGAAGTTTTACACCCTCTTACCCCTCCTCCACTGTGTTGAAAATAATTTATTCAAAAACATGAACCATGAATATTTCTAGACCGTGTGAACAGATTAGTGAGGAGAAAAAATTTCTGATGGAAGGGATGATAATCCAGTGAACAAATATGTATTACATAGTAGTAAGTAGTACAAAGAACAATAGTGTTTTTAATAGAATAGGGAATGATCAGAGTAAGTGTTTTTTTAATAGGATAGTATTGGGCAGGGTTTTTGATAATGTCACAGTGAGCAGAGATATGAATGAAGTAAGAAAGCCATGCAGTCACCTGGAGAAAGAGCTTTCTCGGAGATAAAGTGATAATCATTGCCAGATTGAGCCACTTTAATGTGTGGGAGGGTTTGTATTCCTTAAGTTGTGTTAAGGTAGAAAAGGTTTTAGAAGTTCTCATGAACCCCAAATGCCTCCCTATGTTCTCTCAACTTCCCAGTCTACACAGACAAAACACACTTTGCAGACAAAACACAATCATCCTCCAGATCTCAGTTTCATGGGACTACTCCCATACCAGACAGAGGCCTTTGGGTTAAATGGTCTTTCTAAGTTCTCATTATTAAATACCTGAGACTTCCTCCATTTCTGTCTGGACTATTTGCTCTATGCACCAGGCAAGAAATCAGATCCAGTAAACAGCAATTATGATCAATTTTTTTTAAGTATTCGAGAATATATTAATATAGTTCTCCCTGTTTGTACATGCGGGCTTGGTCACTCAGTCATGTCCAGCTCTTTGCGACCCTTTGAACTGTAGCCTACCAGGCCCCTTTCTCTGTGGAATTTTTCAGGCAAGGATATTGGAGTGGGTGGCCAATTTTTCCTCCAGGGGATCCTCCCGACCCAGGGATCTAATCCTTGTCTCCTGCATTGCCTGCACTGCAGATGGATTATTTACCACTGTACCACCTAGGAAGACTGGAAATAAATAATGCTGATAGTTAAACACAGCAATCTCTGTAGTCTCCTTATGGCTGATATAATAAAATGCCACTTCATTATTTCTAAATAAACCCAACCTGGAGTATTTCACAGAAAAGATAGAAATTGTACAGTCTCTTGAGGTACCTTAAAGTGACAGTCTAGCAGACACTGTCAACAGTCATAAGCTCTGGAGTGCCAGCTAAACAATATGACTATGGAAGCTTCCCAGTGGAGGGATTGCCACAGTCCTGACAATTATCCAGGGATACACTATGTGGCCTTTAGACCAGAAAGTCTATCAAGAATTCCCTCAACAGCAACCCTGCACACAGGCTCAGTCCTGGAACCAGACTATGTATGCATTACAGTCCTGCCACACAAGCATTTCATCAGTGAGCAAGACAGCATTCACTATATCAACAGAGCAGCCATCCAGCATACAAAGCAGCATACCAATGGTGGAAGAAAAAAGAAAGTCAGTGATCGTAACAAATTTTATAACCAAATCGAAGTCAACAGTCCAGTTTATATTTGCTGGGATCCTTGAAAAGGGCTTCTCACTTTTTTCATTTCAAATTTTACCTCCATATAGAAATTAAAATTCTTCTTTGTCAATCTCTCCTTTTCATTGTCATCTTGGGCCCATTCCTGCTAAGCTTTCTAGATATATTTTTGTCGCATATGCTATGGATGATGCTACAACTCTCCCCAACATCAGGAACTGCTATAATTAAGTTAAATTACGATATAACTGAGCTTTCCTGGTAGCTCAGCTGGTAAAGAACCTGCCTGCAATGCAGGAGATGCTGGTTCTATGCCTGGATCAGGAAGACCCCCTGGAGAAGGGACAGGCTCCCCACTCCAGTATTCTTGGGCTTCCCTGGGGGCTCAGCTGGTAAAGAACCCACCTGCAATGTGAGAGACCTGGGTTTGATCCCTGGGTTGGGACGATCCCCAGGAGAAGGGAAAGGCTACCCACTCCAGTATTCTGGCCTGGAGAATTCCACGGACTGTATAGTCCATGGGGTCACAGAGAGTAGGAAATGAATTACATTATATGTATAATGTCATGCATATGACATGCTATATTTACTTATATATGTTTATATATACATGTTATATGTGTGTGTGTGTGTGTGTGGGTATATATATATATATATATATATATGAATCTCTGGTGCCCTGACAAACTTCTATATTTTGTTGTATCAATTCATCCGTTCAAAAAGTCATTTGTTGAGTACCTGTCACACGCTAAGCACTGTTCTAGGTATTGAACACAGAAGCAAATATGACAGAAAACCACATAAACAAACATACACAAACAAGTAAACATATATACATATATGTTATACATGCAAACAAGTAAATAAACATGCAAAACGGCAAATAAGTGAATATAGTTAAAATGAGAGAGACTATATGTGTCAAAACAATATGTGGTGTTATAAATAAAAATAGTGTGTACTCCCAAACAGGTCATATAGATTGTATTGTCCATGACAGACATGTAAACAAAAGGTCAAAATGTAGAATGATCAGCACAATAATGACCAGAAATGGAGAAATCAGCTCTGCGTGATGGACCAGAGAGGGCATCTCAGTTCAGTTCAGTTCAGTCGTTCAGTCATGTCTGACTCTTTGCAACCCCACGGCCTACAGTACACCAGGCTTCCCTGTCCATCACCAACTCCTGGAGCTTACTCAGACTCATGTCCATTGAGTCGGTGATGCCATCCAACCATCTCATCCTTCTCCTCCTGCCTTCAATCATTCCCAGCATCAGTGTCTTTTCCAATGAGTCCAATGAGTCAGTTCTTTGCATTAGGTGGCAAAAGTATTGGCGCTTCAACTTCAGCATCAGTCTTCCCAGTGAATATTCAGGATTGATTTCCTTTAGGATGGACTGGTCGGATCTCCTTGCAGTCCAAGGGACTCTCAAGAGTTTTCTCCAATGCCACAGTTCAAAAGCATCAATTCTTCTGCACTCAGCTTTCTTTATAGTCCAACTCTCACATCCATACATGACTACTGGAATAACCATAGCTTTGACTAGACAGACCTTTGTTCACAAAGTAATGTCTCTGCTTTTTAATATGCTGTCTATATTGGTCATAGCTTTTCTTCTAGATGTGGACATTTAAGTTCTTAAAGAAAGAATTAGAGTTTATGAGAAAATTAGAAAGGAAGAGTAATCCAGTCTGAAAGGTCAGCATTAACACATAAGATAATAGTAATGAAACAGGGAATGAAACAATTTGGGCTTTGCTAGGGCACAGGGTATTAATGAGAAAGTGTCATGTGATGAGCCTGGACAGCGGGAAAAGGCCAGACCAGGGAATTCAGATGTGCTGTATACTAGAAAATTCATAGTTCATCTGATAAGCAATATGGAGTCATCAAAAGACTCTAAGGAATAGGATAAGGTCATCAGAGTGGAATTTCCTCCATTGCACATGACAGATTAGATGGGCGTAGGTCTACAGGGAGGGAGACCAATTAGGAGATTTCTGCAGTTCTCCATGCAAGGGGGTGATGGATAGGAGCTCTGGCAAGAGCCCCGAGAGGAAGAGCCACATAAGAAATATTAAGGAAGCGGTGACCAATTGAACATGGGGGTGAGCAAGCTGAAGGACACTAAGAAAACTCCAGGTATATAGCTTGCACAGTGGGTATTGGGAGAGTTCACCAAAATGGGTAGTACAAGAAAGGAAGCGCTCTGTGGAATGAGAAAATGAGTTCATTTAAGGCTCTGTGGAGTCTGAGCTAACTATGGACCTTGCAAACAAGCAATTAAATGCCTCAATCTGGAGCTAGAGAGACCAGTCTGGGATGCAGCTTTAGATTAGATTAGGGAGCAATTAGCCACAAAGTAGGTTGATGATATAATATGTAGAATAAGCATGGGCTTTGGGGTCAGACAAAAGTTTGAATTCTAGCTCAGTCACTTACCAGCAGTACAACTGTGGTCAAATGACTTAATTTCTCTGAGCATGAGTTTCTTCACATATAAAATGAATATAGCAGCTATTTCAAAGAATAAGTGAAAGATTAGCTATATGGAATGTTTTATTTCAGAGTTTTACATGCTTTATCCTATATAATTATCAGAACTACAAATGCGTGTTATGTGTATATATTTGCTCAAACTCCATAAGATAATGAAAAACAGAGAGCTGTTGTGCTACAGTCCGTGGGGTCACAAAGAGTCAGACACAACTTAGCAACTAAACAATAAAATGTACTATTAATGCATGCATACATATACATACAGAGACAGGCAAATGGATTATGTTCTAACAGCATCTCTATGTTCTCAGAGAAATGTATTCAGGATGTATAGTGCAAGGCCATTTGAAAGGGCTCCTCCCAGAAAACCAAGCAATTCAGGTGGGCACTCCTGACCTATTCTTCTACTTCTAGCTGGTTTTCTAAATTTCTTTACTGGCAGACTTCAGGTGAGAATATGTTTGAATTTCTCTCAAATTTCACCGAAATCTATCCATTCGGATTCTCCTGCATTTGCCCAGCCAAAATAGGTCTTTATGATTTATTTTGAATGTCAGGACTGCTGTTTATAAAAGTTGTTAGGTGGATATGTGTGGTTTCTTTTTAAGGTAAAGGTTTATGCTCTGCAAGAGTACCCAGGAGTAAGAGAAGTGGAAAGTTGCTTTAAACAGAAAATTAGTATATAGCATAGGAGAAACAAAATCAGTGTAAAGATAGGTGCTCTGAGCCTTAGAGTAAAAGTTGTCCCAGGACTGTTGGGTTAAGAATAAGCCAGGCATTTGTTCACAGTCTCCAGCTTGACACAATCTGCAACTGTCACAAGAGAAGATTATTCATAACAATTTTTTTAACCAAAGAACTTTATTTTGGAAAAATCATAGGTATATTGACCAAGTTACTGTTCAAAAGTCTGTTAATTGAATGTAAATGTACACTGATGAATGAATGGATAAAGAAGATAAGGTATATACATAATGTATGTGCTCAGACGTTCAGTCATGTCTGACTCTTTTCAACCCCATGGACTATAGCCCGCCAGGCTCCTCTGTCCATGTGATTTTCCAGGCAAGAATACTGGAGTGGGTTGCCATTTATTCCTCCAGGGCATTTTCCTGACCCAGGAATTGAACCCACATCTCCTGTCTCTCCTGCATTGGCAGGCAGGCACTTTACCACTGAGCCACATGGGAAGCCCCATATATACAGTGTTTTCTATTATATATATATAAAGCATATATAATATAGGTTTATGTTTATATATTATAAACTATAATTATACAATCATATTTATATATAATTATACATAATCAAATATGTATAATTACATGAACATATACATAATTATGTTATGTTTATATAATATACTATATTATACATATTAAGTATATATAATATATATTATATATAATGAGATATGAGTGAAAAAAAGAATGAAATCTTGTCATTTCTGACAACCTACTTGATATCAGGATGGAACTAGGGGACATTTTTTCCTTTTTTTGTTTTTTGACTTAGAGGATATTATGCTATGTAAAATAAGTCAGACAGAGAAAGAAAAATACTGCATGATTTCACTAATGAACAAATAGAACAGAAACAAAGTCATATACACAAACAGGTTTTTGCCAGAGGAGAGGGGATCCAAGAGAGAAGACAAACAGATAACAGAGATTAAGAGGTATAAACTTACAATTGTATATTATAAGAGTCATGGGTATGAAATGTACAGTATGGGGAATATACTCAATAATTACATGATACCTTTGTATGGTGACAAACGATAATTAGACTTGTGGTGATCAGTTTGAAATGTATAGAAGAATCAAATCCTCTGTTGTATAACAGGAATTAACATAGTGTTATAGGCCAATTACACTTCAAAAACAAATAAAAAGGCAAATAAACAAACTCATAGTAAAACACATCAGATTTGTGGTTACCAGAGGCAGGAGGCAGGGGAAGGGGAAATCAGCTGTTGTACAAACTTCCAGTTATAAGACAGATGAGTACTAGGGATGTAATGCATGCCAGGATAAATATAACTAACACTGCTATATGTTATATATGAAAGTAAAGAGAGGAGAACCTAAGAGCTCTCATCATGAGGAAAAGTTTTTTCTATTTCTTAATTTTGTATCTATATAAGAGGTGATGAATGTTCATTAAACTCATCGTGGTAAATCATTTTATGATGCATGACAGCTCAATCATTATTCTGTATACTTTAAACTACGACAGTGCTACATGTCAGTTATATCTCAGTAAAACTGGGAGAACAAAGAATTTTTAAACACATTATAATATTCAATATATGCTTTACCTTTGTCATTATTCTTTGGAATCTTTTGCGTTCGAGCCACCCTCTGACAAGTGCCTGCATGACGGTGACCATTTTAATTATGTTTTTGGTTATTGCAAATTTTTTTCTTCCCCGGAACACTTGGAAGATCTCTATGTGTGGTCCAATTCTTTTAACTTTATTGTCAATTTTATCACTTTTACTAAGAATGGATTTGGGGCTAAAAATAAAATATAAAATGTCTTATTATAGTTAATAAGAAAAACAAACTTCTAAAAAGTCTTAAATTCAATTTCATAATGAATATAATGAAATAGAAAATACACTGTAATTAGCACACATAATTCATGTATATATATGTGTGTGTGTGTGTGTATATATATATATATATATGTATGTATGTATGTATCATCTGAACATTCCAGTAGGGTTCTCCAAAAAAGGTTGAATATGTCAAAATCAATATAACATGCATAAATTGACTTTCTGAAGAAATGAAACCTAAAAGAAAGTAAATCTGTCAAAGCTTATCCACAAGTATTCAAAAGAGACATACAGTATCTAAGGAACAAAATATTTTCATATGACAAGGCACATTAGTAAAAATAACTTTCCTGTCCCAGAAGCTATTTTAAACTAAAGACTGCAGCAAAATTATTCAGCACTGATACTCTGCTTACCAAACTCCTCTGAAAAGTAATTTTAGTTTCCAAATGCTCTCAGTTGAGAGGCAGGGCATGTATTGACAGAGCCATGGACCACAGGATCACAGACGTGAGTGATCATACTGGAAAATATGACAAGCCTTGCAACACTGATATGGATGACCACGTGAGAAGACTTTCTGCATGAACAGTCTGTGGCCTTGGTAATCTTCTGTCTGCTTTTCCCCTTGTATATCTTTGGTATTTTTTACATGGTAGTCAGGTTTTTCAAAGTCTTCCAAAGTTCAAAATGTAGTTTCCTTGCAATTTTTAGCATACAAACATCTTTTTCTCCTCTTAATTGCTTTTGCTTCTGCATCTTTCACAGCTGGAGTTCCAATGAGATGGCCAGGTCATTTCACACACCAGACCTGAGTCTTGCCCTACAAAGTGCACGGTGTATAGACTTCTAAATCCCAGACCCAACTTTCTTGATTCCTGGAGTGAATATCATTGACTGTTTCTACAAGTTTCTTCTCCAGATCTGTTTTGATATTTGCATTAAGCTGGTTCTTATAGACTCCTGTTCTAGTTTGCACATAATCATTAATTTTTTTCCCCTGGTGACTAAAATGTTGGAAGTCTGATTTTGATTTTTGAATCCAGCCATCTAGTCTCTGTTGGGTGGTAGATGGTAGATAACAGGGGATCTTTTTCCATTTGTTTCTTCTACTAGTTTGTCTTGAAACTTGTGGTATCTTCTAATATGCCTTGTACTATCAGTATACCTAAAATCAAGTTTCCCCTGTGACTCAGCAGTAAAGAATCTACCTGTAATGCAGGAGATGCATTCCTGGATCAGAAAGATCCCCTGGAGAAGGAAATGGCAACCCACTCCACTATTTTTGCCTGGAGAACCCATGGACAGAGGAGCCTGGCAGGCTATAGTCCATGGGGTCAAAAAGAATCAAACAGAACTTAGCAACTAAACAACTGCAACAAAACCTAAAATCATTTGAGATACTTTTGTACCCACTAGATTGGAGATCTGTTTCAGATCAGGAAATTCATAACAAGTATTCCTTGGATATCCTTTTTGACTCTTGGACCTTCCTATACCCAAGTAGCCACTACTGACCAGTGAGATTTGCTCAAGCACAGAAAACTGTCCTCTGGATTTACTTTTGATCTAAAGTTAAAGACACAGAACTGAGGCTAGCATTTCTCTCTGTTTGTGTATACAAATAAACATTGTCCCATCTTTGCAAAAGAAAGGAAGTTAGCCTTGTATGATGTTCATGTAACAGTAGTTCTTTTGTATCTTTGGTTAGTTCTTTCACTATCTCGCTTGAGAAAATTTCCGTAGATTGAGTCAAAAATATAACATGCTGTGCTAGAGAGAAATATTTAAATAGACAAAGCTACCAGAAAAGGCATAGAAAATAAAGCAAAGTTTTCTTTTTGGTTGTTTAAATTAAGATTGATTTTGAATAGCTCATAAAAGAGGGAGCTCTGCCTTGTAAGAGTATTTTTGCTCTGTTATATCAATTTTTATGAACAGGCCTCCATGTACGAGATAAACTGGGAATGTAAATAAAATAGAAATGGTTACTTCTGACTTGTTTGGAGTTTTAAGACCTACTGTGAAGTCAAAAGGATTTTGAGTTTATGACTTTTTTTCCTTTTTCTCAGAAGAAATAAGAGAAGTCTTCTAGAAACACATAAATGAGCCAACTATGGTCAAACTTATATGTTCTAACAATAATGTATAAATAAATCTTCAAGGGACACATACACCTGACCATAAGGTGATGTGTGATGTGTATTGTTAAAGTACGGGCAGTGGTCACTGGAGCTCTGCTTCTCCTAAGTTGCCGTGAATGGCACAGAATTCTTTGTCACGTACTGAAAACTGTATGTGGTGTGGAAGTGTTAGGGGAAGCACACTGATTGAAAGCCCCTACCCTGGCCAGGCACCATGGTAACCATTTGCATGAGCTGTTTTACGACAGGAGGTCCTGGTAAGGAACACAGAACTAATAAGCCTCCACCAACCGGAAGAGCTCGGGAAAGGTCAAAAGGAGACACCACGTGTCCGACCACCTCCCAGAATCCTTCTTTCTGGCATCCATCTTGGCTGAACATGGCTGCACCACCAGCAAGGACTCTGAGTCAGAGCGATTGGCTAAGGACAACCCGGAAACTAATCCCATCACCATAAACCCAAGACTGTGAGCCACGTGGCAGAGCTGTTCCCCTGGGTTCCTTCACCCTCCTGCTGTCCGCCCGGGCGCCCTTTCCCAGTGAAATCTCTTGCTTTGTCAGCACATGTGTCTCCTCAGACAATTCATTTCCAAGTGTTAGACAAGACCCCAGTTTCTGGCCCTGGAAGGGGTCCCCCTTCCTGCAACAGAAGGGGGTTTGGGAGAGGGAGGGGGAGAATTGAAGTTAGTTATTTTGGTTAAAGGCTATAGTTAGCATGAATGATTAGAATGAGTAAAAGCTATAGTTAACATGAGTGATTAGAATGACATTAATTAAAATAAGGAAATGCAAAAATGTTTACAAAATGATGGATATGTTTTGTCTGCTTTTTAATCAATTGAAAAAGAAAGGGATTTATCTTAGGCCCTAGCCGTATGGACTTTGATAACAACACATCTCTAAACAATTGGAATGTTAAAATAAAGAGAAATTTGAAGCTGAAGAATAATTTATAGACGACTTGATGGAAAGTGAATTATATTTACAAATAATGGGTTTGAAAGGAAGCTATGAAATATACCAAATTTTGATGGTAGTTAGGTCAATTTGGATAAGCTTAATCCTCAAATAGAGAAATGCTTGTGAATCCTTGACTATGAAATGTTGCATAGTTGGTACACAAAAAAGTAAAATCAGAATTTGATTTCCTTTCTGTTACACTAAAAAAACTGATTTTCGAATAACAGTCTCCTCCTAATAGGAGAGAGGGAAAATCATTCAGGGCCTTTATTACAGTTTTCCTAGGAAGCAAAAATTCCTTACATCACAAAAACTATTTCTCATAAATACTTACACATTTTTTCTCTGTGATCTACTTCTTACAAAATCTCATATTCCTAATATTTAATGTGATTTGTGACTATGTTACTTTTTTTTTTCACTCTAAGGGCACCGATGACTTTTGTTGATACTTTGCAACCTCTCAAAATTCTTTGCAATTCAAATTCAAATCCCATATTTAGAAACAAAAGCCTGCTGGTTCCAAACTCAAAATTCTTAAAGATCCAAATGTTTTAAATATGGGCTGAATAACCATAATTTTTGGCCATTTAGAGCCTGCCTGCTTTGCATTTCCTGTAAAACTATAACCAACATTTACTAGCCAAAGATAAGACAAACTCTGAGGCTGTGGAAGACTTCAAGCCCCTGCTGCCCATCAGAGTTCACTGACCCAGAGACCCCCCTCTTGCTGTGAGTGAAATCACCAGACAGGAAAGCTCCCCCTCCTCCACTCCCACAGGAGGGCCCTTACTCCCTTCCCCTTCTGAATGGTGACCCTCTGCCATGGTCTCTAGGTCTTCCACTGTGAGGGGCTTCCTCTCTCACAGCTGTCCACATGAGCCAAATAAAATGTGTTATGTGCCATTGTCACCCAGGACCATATCTCCTTGATTATTCCCAGTATCCTTGAACTCATTATAATGTCCACAATTTTACTTAACTCAGCACTACGATATTGAAAGTTGTCCAATTTATCCAAATCCAAACCACGAAAGAAAAATCTCCTTAAGTTAAATATATAACTAAAATGTGATTAATATAAATATATTAGGAGCACACTTTATAGTAAACTGATTGCATTGATGGCTAATTAATGCCCCCTTATGTCCCTGTCTTTGCAAAGTGATTTTACAGCCCCACCAGTTAGGTGGGGAATCAAGTTACCCACCCAAGAATCTAGGTTAGCCCTGTGAATTGCTTTGACCAAAAGAATTCAATAGAAGTGATGCTATGCCAGTTATTAGCATGTGCCCCAGAGGCCTTACACAATTCCATTCTCCTGGATCTCTTAATCTACATGACAACAAGCCAATAAGCCTCTAAAGAATGAGAGAGCATGTGAGAACAGACAAGAGGAACCCATTTGAGTGATCCCGGATGATATCAGCTGAGTACGACCAGATTATCAGAACCGCCTCATGAGAAATAACAGTTGCAGTTTTTAATTACTACATTCTGTGATGTTACTGTAGCAATGAATCACTGATGCACATACTCACATTTATACACACAGGTTAATACAGTAACTGTCGAATTGATTTTTTTTTAAGATTTTATTTCCGAGGTAAATTATCTCTGTTAAGTACTGACACTCATGACAAAGATTTTATGGGATGACAAAAAAAAAAAAACTTGAGGTTTGCCAGTGTGAATAGTATGTTCTTATTTTAAGATGTATCCATGTGTGTGTTATGGAAATAAAACAGAAGCAGTCTTGTTCAGGCTTCAGAGACAAAAGAGCAGAGCAGTCCTCTCACCTTGCTTCTGACCCACCTAGACTGCCCAGACTACTGCTGTGGGTGTCAGCCAC